CCACCCTAGAATATTGTTGCCAAAGTCCCACAAAATGACAGTGTAAAAACATATGCAAACACGCACGTTTGTGGGAGAGTACACATGTTTGTAGGCCCTGTTCTGATTGGTTATTTGTTAAATATGATTGACACAAAAGGTTCTATTACATTATATGTACATTGTCCATGCCTTGAGCAGGAACAGAGATACTGTTTGAACTGTAATCATGTTAATTCTGACCACACTATCAAATTTTATTTGAAAACAAACTGCTGTATGCCCATATATAGTCAGATGTGCCTATATATGGTCACGACATGATGTCATCACGACTATATTTAGGCATATCACATGTTTTCACATAGTCTGAACAGGGCTTTAGACATTTCAAACCCTAGCTTCCCACTTGGTACTGTGACATACTTTTCGTGGCTGGATGGAAAGCCAAGGCTTTTCCTTCATATCGTCGATACTTTCCCAGATCTTGGAGAGTTCTGACCACACACCCTTCAGGTCCTGGAGTTCTTCTAAGGCCACTTGCATTCTCTCTTCACTGTTAGTGAATGTGCCTATACAGGTAAGTAATAAGATAGATATAATTTTTAGCCAGTAGTATTGGTAAAATACAATAAACAGTATAGTAGAAATATGGTAACAATGTCATCTTATTCTACAATTCTTCAAAAAAAATTTACATCACTGTCAGACTTACAATGAAACCATTTGTTTGATTAGACAAATCTGAAGCAAACAAACATTATTATATCAAACATGTCTTAAAATTAAATTATTTGTTTGATTAGACAAATCTGAAGCAAACAAACATTATTATATCAAACATGTCTTACAATTAAATTATTTGTTTGATTAGACAAATCTGAAGCAAACAAACATTATTATATTAAACATGTCTGCTGAATCTACGAGACGCAAGTCTGGTTTTGTACGGCCAAGATTTAGAATGGTGCTAACTGTTGAATATATAGGCATACCTGCTTCTTTCAGTTCGAGAGCTTCTTTAGCTTTGGCAATGTTGTCTCTATCCTCTTTCAACCTGGCAAACTTTCCTTCGAAGATGGTCAATGCACTGGTTGCTGCGTCTGGCTTCAGATCACCCTGTTGAGTATTATCATTAAAAAATATATACACATAAATCAAGTAGGAATAATTATTTCTCCATGGATAAATCATCAGTGTTTGGATTAGACAGCTAAGCATTGCTAGCTCAGAAGGGGAAAAAATTCCAAAAGAAAATGGCGCAAGTAATAACACCTCTTTGTAAGCTATGTTCTTTTTAAAGAAGGCGGGATGAATATTATTCTCCAAAGAACTCAGAAATTTCAAAATATCATATATCATGTCCACAATATCAAGCTATTATGAAACAAAATTATGTAAATTGCCCATATATGGGTATGATATGACTTTATCATGCCCATATATGGGTATGATATGACTTTATCATGCCCATATATGGGTATGATATGACTATCATGCCCATATATGGGTTTGACAAAACATCATTTTGCCCACATAGGGAACGCACATATAAAACTGCTACAGGAATCAAATAGTGAACTTCAGAATACTGTTACAACAGTCGGCCAAGTAAGATAAAATGTAATCACTTTTTTTTAATGATTGTTATCTGCACCTTCTTTGCTTGCTTTAATACAAACTGGTGTTTGTGATTGAAAAAAGTTAGGGGATTTAAATTTTTGATGATTTTTAATTACCTGAATGGGTTTGCCTTTCTCCCACTCTGCCAGTAGTTCTGAGGTTCTGAGCTCAACAGTCTTATCCTCAGCAACAATTTTCATCTGTAGGCTAGCAACCTTTGAGAAAATATAGAAATTATTTCTTAAGTGTATGATCAGGCAAGGATTTTGTTTTAGGCATTCAAGATTTATGTTTGTAAATAATGACCATGAGAACCCTTCAACAACTAACACAATAATTACTGTACAACTGACAACTACCACCGCAATCTCACTGGACCACCACACATATATCACTAGCTGATCATACATTGCCACTACTCTACCATCATCACTACTACTATAGCTGCCACCACAACCACCCCAGCATCATCACAATTAATACTACTACCACCAACAACACAATCACCACTATCATATTAGACACCCTCACAAATAGTCTAAAACTACTACCACTACAAAACACCATCATCACCACAACCACACCCATTACACCCATTATACCCATTATAACTACCGTAATTAATACTCCTGTAATTGCACCCACTACAACCACCATCACCAATACTGCTGAACCTGCAGTCACTACAACCACCTTAATTAATACCGCTGTACCTGTTGTTGGATGGAGGCATCCTTCCTCTTCATGATTTCATTGTAAGCCCCCCATTCACCTTCGATGTTATCCACGTACAGCCAGCTGGATGGGAACTGGTAGCGCTGCCTCTCAAGAAGCTTCTGCCCGTGGTGATACATCTATATAACACATAAAATAATGTGTTATACATTTAAAGGCCAAGTACAAATTTTATTATTACATGTCATTAATTAAAATATTTATATATGTACTTTAGTCATTACATGTGTTATTATTTTAAGTGTGAAGCTATATGGTAGCTTGGTGGCTGCCACTTTCATCTCTAGACCAGGGTCCAAGGTTTGAGAGAATACAAGTTGTTTTTTTTCTCATAATGAAAATACAAGTACATTGCTTAACACCTAAAATGATTTGAAATGAGGCTTGCCATCCCAAAACCAGCATCACTGTTGCTAAAAGTTAAAATGAGTAATTAGCATAATGGTGTGGCTGTATTGTATACTTTAGTACAGAAAAGCTGTAATACTTTTACTCCTAATTTTTTGGCAATAGTAAGTTGATTTTAGTAAATGACCCATCATTTTAAAGCTTATAATGTGGAGAATATAAATATATTAAAAAGTCAAGTTTCTTGTTTTGGTTACTGACGCTGGTTCTGGCATGACAAGCCTTATGCAGCATCTTTCATCCAGTATATAGCAAGGGTACAAGCTTCTTGAATGGGAAATTGTGAATGAATTTTTATATAATGAAAAATACAATACATAAAATATGTTATTACCTCTACTTGCTTCTCCCAAGTACGGTGTTTCCTCTTAAGGTTCTGTACGTATGTGATGAAGCTAACGGCATCAGCTGTGCTGGCTGTATCGACTGAGTGCTGTTCAAGCTCTGTTCGAGACTAAAATAAAATGTATATTTGGCAATTACTACTTTAACTAACAGCAGTAGATGTAGTTTTAGGTAACAATATCATAAAATTGTATATAAGAATAGAAGGTTCCAAACATATCTGCATCAGTGAGAGAGATGCTATTAAAGTATAACACACTGTCTTCTTAGCATACCTTTGAGAGTGAGGAGTGGAATTCTGTCATCTCGTTGCCGAGCATCGTTCCAAATTTGCTCAAAATCTCCTTGTGCCAAGTGTCGTACTTCATGTTCACTTTTGACTGCACCTATTGGCACGGAAGTGGAATATGTATGTGTTATTCGTGCAGTGCATCATACTAAATCTGCATTTACTGCAATTCTTCAGGTATGAGCCAACATCAGCTACATTTAAGTACTTTTTATGCAATATTCTTCATCTGGGTATATATGCTAACCCCACCTAACTTATATTCTATGTTGTCGTGTGAGTACGACGTGCTGCACAAGTTCCAGTGTTTTACTGAAAAGAGTACAGGTTTGAAAAAGGCCAAGTCAACAAAGATCCTAGCTCGGAAGTACTTGTGAAAGAATCCCTTTTAAACATTATAAAGAATTGGAGGTAAAATTTAGGAAATATATTGCATTTAACAAAAAAGAATCAGCGATTTGGAGAAAGCACAGTCCTGTTACAAACCCAAAGCATGTGGAATTGCAATGTGATTTGCATATGGCTAGCGCACAAAGCTGAACATTTTTCAAGTAGTTGGTATTGCTAAATCTGAAAACGAAAACCCAATCAAGATTGCGGAAACTTTGCTTGTCCTGGAATACATGCTTTCTTTGCAAACCTCGGTTGAACATTCCGTGAGGTACCAATAAGGTAGCAACAAGTTCTAAAGAGAAGCGGGTACATGGGAGAAATGTTGATGAATAAGCCACAGAATTTGCTTTAGATTCAACAATCCTCTATGGTGATGAGACTTAATGAACGTTTAGCACTGCTAAAAAAATGGTGGGTCAAGCAGTGATAGGTTCCTGGAGAAAGCAAACCTGTTTTACTTACCTTTCCATAATCCACCACAATAGGTCCAAATTCCTTTCTTGACTCGGCAGTATCAAAAGTGGTACGAGCTTGTCTATTTAAACAAATTAAAATATATTAACAATTAATCATCATTCGCATTATTCTATTAAATGTAACTATCGTGATGGCAGAAGGTTGGCTTGAATCTTATGCAGTATGTTTTTTCGCTTCGGTCCATGGACAAAGCACTTTACCTATGTTCGTCTTTCTCCACCCTTCATGCAAAATTTCCATTGACAAACATTATGTCATTTGAACACCAATTTAATAGCTATATATTAACAATAATATACAGTAATAATAGTTGTCAAAATATATTGTAGAGACCTCTATGTGCTTAACATTATTACTCCTGGTCATTAGATCAAGCACATATGGAACACATATTCAGGTCCCTGGGAGAATTCCATAATGTTGCAGCTGTAATCAGCACATTTTGTGTTTGTGCCTACCAGTTATCCACATGTACTCATGGGTAGAGAGACAACCGCAGGTAAATTGCCTTGCCTAAGGACACAAGCGAAATACAGAGCGAGGGACTGAACCTACAACCTCAAGGTTGAGAAGAAGCAGAAACGCAACCGCTGCGCCAAATTATTGTATTTGATCTAGTCCTTTCCTCAGAGACAATTTAAGGCACTTTGTCGTTGGATAAGTTTACCTAGTTTGTTGATTACATTTTTGATTAATAAATTATATAAAATAGTATGGATGGAACCGAAGCAGATTGACTACCTACAAAACTGCATTGGCAATTGCACTGTAAATATACTGTATCTCAGTCTTAGTCTCGTCACAAGTTCAATTCTCTCCTTAAAACTCATCTCTTTCAATAGATTAATGGTGTAATATCGCTGTGACACACCAGCAAAGAGCACTATATAAAAGCAAATTATTATTACTATTATACATATAACATTAAAAAAAACATTGCCAAATCTGAAAGCTTACCTAATTTCTGTCAAGAGCTGAGTCCATCTTGTCATGTCCTCTCCGAGCTTGTTGTAGATGTTGTGCGACTGCATATCCCACAAGGACTGATACTGAAGCCACACCTTAACATACTCCTTCACGTAGTTCAAGGTGTCATCAATTGCCCTGTAAGCTTCTTCTAATATAATGGGCCCATCTGGGAGCTTGGTCAGGAGGTTCCGGTAGACAGAGTGTTTAGCAGACTCATGGTGATCAACACCAACCTACAAAAACAACAACAAATATTTATCAAAACAAATAAAATTAATGACACAATTTAAAGAAAAAAAAAATATTTGCATTGCCCAAGCTACAGTGAAATTTGTAAGTGAGGATTGTTTGTTCAGAATTTTTGTCTAATTCTGTCGCCTTGTACATTTTAGTTAATGTTAACCACAGGACAACTATCCATGGTTAAGTTATCAAATACATTAATCAAAGCATAAATACTAAAGATTTTGTGTCGTTCATTCTTGGGTTAAGAAAGAACCCTTTTTAGCCTAATAATAAAATTCAAACACCAAAATGGCGGACAAAATTTTTATCTTATAAATTTGTTTAACTATGCTTACCTGGTAACGTGAGCTCTCCAGACGTCTCTGTGATGTAACAATCTGCTGCCAAGCAAAGAGCTGTTGCAGGAGCTGGTACCTGGCCTCCTCAATTGGTGGGCCCAAGTACATGACCTGGTTTGTGATTCTGATCTCATGGATCAAACCCTGAAATGAAGTAACAATCACAATATTATCATGCTAATGATTTCTATTAAAAATCTGAAAATCATCAACAAAAAAATCCACCAAAAACTGAGGCTGGTTTAGTCAACAGATTTTGTGTTGCATCATCATAACCCAGTTAAACAATTTGCAATTAATTACAACACAGAATGTCTCGCAATAAGACACCAGCCTAGACATAAAAACGCTATTCCAAAACGGGACAGGAAGTTTTTTATCAGTGGCTAAAAAACCTGTGAACATAACTCGCTAAATTTGCATACAGGTGCTGATATGTACCTTGATCTTGGGGTCACCACCTGGCTTGTGTTTAGCAGGTGCATCTGTATCCATGGTCTCCTCAAATCTGGATGTCTTATCACCATACAAGCATTTTGTCCAAGCCTGCAGCCCAGCTTGCAATCTCTTGGCAAGACACTTCTCGACCTACATAATCAAATGGATTGAAGAAGATTAAAACAATGGTGGTGGGGATGATGATGGCGATTGTGAACACTTCATATATAAAGATGAAATGACGACAATGAAATGACGATGACAGTAGCAATGACAATGATGGAGATACTGACAAATATATTTACAATGCTGATGCTAATTACGATAAAGTTACAATGACTAAATTTATGATGATTATGGGAGAAATGATGATGATGGCGGTGACGGTAATGATGATGTTAGTGATTGTGACGATGATGGTGATTACAGCGTTGGTGGCAATTACAGCAATAATTACAGCGATGATGCCAATGGCGGAAATAATAATGCAAAGGTAACAATTGAAGTGGATAATAATGATGATATGGTGGTGGATAGTAATGAAATTGTTAAGGAAGGTGAAAGGGATGACGGTAATGACAATGATAAGGTTGATAATGGTGTTTAATGTGTTGATGCTGAAGCAATGATGATAATGAGGTTGATAATGATAATGTTGATAATGTGAATTATCATAGGATGATGATGTGACATTGATGATGATTATTTAATTGAAGACGAGGTAGGTTCCAATAATTGTAAATCATCATTCGTACCACTGAGTCCAACTTGGCGACCCATTGAGGGAGATTGGAGTAAGAGTGCAAGCTCAAATCATCTACAGCTTTCTGGATATGGCCTAGAATTTCTGCAAAGATGTTGGCATTGTAATCAGCACTATCAAGTGATCGTACATCCTGATCGATTTTCTCCTCTATCATAAGTAAATCGTCCACCTTAAGACAATAACAAAAGCCATTAATATATTTAGCAGTGATTGAAAAAGTGATTTTTCAAAGTCAGCTAATGGAACAGTATAATAACAGTATATTTATTTAATTTATTCTCAACTGACAGATAATGTTTTGCTCCTCAAAGGTAAGGCTAATAGTAGCATCATTGTGCTGGAATTCATATGGGTGTAGTTCATGATTACCCAAGCAGCCATAAAGAGGTATTTATTCCACAATGAACTGGGGTTGAAATGAACCAGATCATTGGGATGTCTTCTACTCTTCTAAAAGACGTATTGGATTCTTTTAAGTGCAAAAAAGCTAGATGTTTACACCGGGCCTCTGGTTTTAAGTCCTTATACAAACGAACTCTGTTCTAACAACCTAACATTATCAGATTCAATTTTAGGTTACATCAGACAACTTACTTTCTCTTGGAAGTTAAAGACAGTCTCAGCCAACTTCTGAACATAAGGATCAAGTTTGTAAGACTCCCAAACAAGACCAATTCCCTGTGATAGATTAAAAGACAATTCATGACTTAGTATAAATAATTATTAAAAGCATATACACTAACAATAAATTGTTCAAACTGTATCTCATTGAAAGTTGAATAAATTTAATTTCAATATATTTTTATTTATTACTTACTTCTGCGATCAAGCCTTGTACTTCTTTCTTCAGACCTGCAACCAAGAGAGTGATGGTTGGCCTTGCTTCAACCTAGAGATATTGAAATGCAAACAAAATCATACCTTTTCATTATACATGTACTGTATATTATTTTTTAATTGTTATTTTTTTTTCTCGCACCACATATTAAGAAAATACAATACATTTCTGTTTACATTCATTAAAATATGTTGATAAATTTAATGAATATTCATTAGTATGTAAAATTTCCTTACTTGTTATACAAATATATATATATATATGGACATTTATAAAGCCTTTTTTGAATATTATTACACCAAAAAATGACATTTTTAAATTACACAAATCAAAGAATATCTGTTCTACTTGACACACCGAATTCGACAATTCCATTATTTTAAAGGGATTGTTACTAAATAGATACAATATCAATAATCTTACCTTGTCACAGGTACGTTCGTAGGTCCTAACACTCTCGATCAGAGAGATTGCGAATGGGTATAGCTGATTGGCCTGATGTGCCTTGTTGACAATTGCTAACGGCACACGGAAACCAAGCCATTTCAAGTTACGTACCTATTATATATAATTAACAATTATCAATATTTATAATTACTTATAAAAAAAAATTTAGTATATCACATTTGTCTAACCATGTCATATTAATAAACTGCACAAATATTCGTTAGCATGACAATGTTTTCATTAGTTTTTGTAGATTCATTCATATCACAGAGTTTCTAAATTTACTATTTAAATTTGAGTCTTACTGTAGCATAGATTAGCATATTAATAAATTGAATGAATATTCATTAGCATGTACCCATTAATTTATGCAAATCTATTCATGAATATTCATACAAACCTCCTTGGACAATGTTATGATATCCGGTAAGAAGTTGATTCTGAGTTTGAGGACGTTGGACTTTGTTCCAGCGCGAGCTCTCTGACTTTCAATTGTGAAGATGCGGCCGGTGACTCCAAGTTGACGCTGCTGAACCTACCATAAGTAATGTTAAAAAAACAAGCAACTAATTTCAAAAAAGACCTTTCATAGAATAGAATGCAACAACTTTAAATACATACTGGTAATAAGATTTTAATAACACAATTATGGAAATCTCCTTGTTTAAAAATCTTAAAAATAATATCATTTAGTTAGTACAACACAACCATTTAACTAACAACATTTGGCTGAAGAAGAGTATATATATTAAGACAGTCGGAAAAGACTTATAGCAGAAACATTTAAATATTTTTCTAACCTTTCTTGACCAATCATCAAACACCTCCTGAGTGCTTAGTTTAGCACGGAAGCTATCTCCATCTGCTTTCAACTTCTGACCTTCAACATGATTTTCCCAGCCTTTGCCAAGTACATCCTCTACTCGCCTCATGTAGGCTGTGAGCTGGCGATCAATCTGTGGAGAAACAAGTCAACAATGACACACCTGCAAATGACACACAAGCCAGTGACAAAGTAACACCTGCATAATATACACCTGCTTAATATACACTTGCAGACACATCTGCAAATGGCCCAACGGTAAATGATGACACACCTGTAAATGACACACTTGCAACTAACACACCTGCAAATGACAACGCAAATGACACCTGCAATGACAAATCTGCAATAACAAACCTTTACATGACACCCCACACACCTGTGTCTCTGTCAGCTTAAATTATTTCTACTTACCTGTCTTGCCCAGATGATGGATCCAGAGGTGGGAGGCAAGTCCCTCACCTTACTCATCTTACTGGCCTTGCTCAATGGATACTGGACCTAAGATGTGGTAATGAATAATATTTTATCATAAATATTATATATAATCATATGAACTACGAGTCCCTTATAATTGTCATAGCACGCAAATTACTACGCTCTACCGTGGTAAAATAAACCAAGAAATAATACAATAGTTATAAGACCTGGCCAAAATGAATCATAATCTTGCCTTAGAAACAAATCCTACTCTTTAAATAAACCATGGTTGACTGTTCCTGGCCATTCATTTTGGCATCCTGCTCTTAAAAGTAAAAAGTTGACCAGGCAGAAAATAAAGACTACAGTATTTGTTGATGTTTTATCCCACTAATGATTAAACACAATGATTTCTATTTATATTTGTTGAGATTTCTCTCATTTTTCAAATCATTATTATTTAAAATTAAAGTAATGCTAATAAAAAAAACAAAGACCACTTGCTTTACTTCTAGGACCCCAATATTTGAGCAATATATATAACAAATTTCTGAGAATTTGTTAATATATGGGCATATTATGTCATATGGAATCCATATAGGGTCAAATCACAAGTATTTATCACATGGAATTTGATAGTTTGGAGGTTTAGAGTCCATAAAGATAACAAGTGCAACCACCACTATATCTATACAAATTCATAACTTATTGTCATCTCATTAAGAAAATTTTTAGTAGACATAAGTTTCATTAATGTCTTTGTCAAGGTCTCTAAACATGTTTAAATCTTTATAATCCTGAATCGCAATATCAAATTTGAACTTAGCCTGTTTTATTCATGCAAAAAAAAACTTATTAAACTTAAATCTGGTTTTATAATACTGTGCATGAATGAAAATTATGCTGGATACATAGAACAAAGCTGACAAGTAATTTCAAGATCAATCCAACGACACATTGAACCTGTTATTAACATTATAAAGCATTTTTTAATAGATCTGTTTTAATAATAATATTGCGCATGATTGAAATTAATTCTGGAAAGATGGTACAAACGCTGGCAAGTATAACTAAATTCAAGAGCTATCAAACAAAACATTGGTCATTAAATCTGTCATTAACGCTATAAAGTGTTTTTCAACGGGTTCTCTGGATTCATCAGTCATCGCCGAACCAACGGGGGAATTACAAGAATACGAGCGACACGAACCACAACCACATGCCATAATAAACAATATCGTACAAGATTAGCACCTAAGATATTAAAGCAGCTCTCATGAGAGGAGACGTCATAATTAATTTCAAGTCTGTATAAATCCAGATTGAAAATGTTAACACGCTGAGACATCCTTGTTCACTAGATATTAGAATGTACTGGCAACAAATACACTTTTTGGTGAATTTTTACAATTTTGGACAATTATATAATTGAAATAGTATCATAAGAATCCAACTTGTGTAAATAAAATTTCTAATCATTAATCACAGTTACATATGTTTTACATTAAAACATTATATTAACATTTTTAAAAATCTAAAATATGTCATATTTTTTATAAAACCAAATATTTTCTAATTTATTGACTAAAATCAAATTAAAATGGACAAAATTGAGGGACTATAATCAGTAGACCTATCCTTTAAGTTTAATAAAAAGATAACAAAACTTAACTTAAAATAAAATATATCATTAGTGTCTGCATGATTTTTGAAAAGCAATTTTAATTTATTAATAAATTTATATTTCCCAACACCTACCCATTTTTATTTAGGTATCATTACCTTGAATTTATCGTGAAGAGCCTCGATGTCGTCTTTGACACGCTGTATCAACTGTGTTTGATATTCCCGGATGGCTCCGCGAATGTGAGGTCGTACAAACAGGGCGTTGAAACGCGAGAATATACGGAACATTTCGTTTGCGTTCTTGGCTGTGCCCAGTTGATCACGAAGACGTGCAGTAATTCTAGTTTCTACACGGTCTATACGTTCATCATACCTATAAATTGCAAATGTTTATTAATTTAAAAACATTTTCTATGAATTAGTATTCTCATATGATTCTTTTATGTATTTGTTTTACACATCCCTACCTCCTGCTTTGGGGTAAGCATGTTTGGTTGATGTAGTATGATTTAGCTATCTATATTATACATTTACAGTGAACCTTAGGCCTAAGACAAACCTCTTCATGGCTGCCTCAAAGGCATCTGAGCCTTCACGTGTCACATCGAGCCCATCTACTTCCTTCACATTTTCGTAGGCTAGGTTCACTTCCTATAAAAATTTTAAAAAAAAACTTTTTTATTGCAGTAGTGGTAAGCTGGTTATTGTACTCACCCTCAAATTTGAAGGTCCAGAGTCCAAATCCTGTGATGTGAATGGATTAGTTCTCATAAAAAAAATAACTCACCTCCTAATCTCTAACAATAAGTAAGTGTATCTAAACACCATATCTATATCCTCACATCACAAACTAACACAATGAAAGTAGGTTGGGCCAAAAAAAATAAATTTTTTGTTAGCCCTTCTTTTTTTAAAAATTATAAATAGGGGCGGTTGGAAATTTTTTTTAAAATTTTTATATTTTTTTTTAAAGATACTCATCAGATGGAACAAAAAATGACCCACAGAGGCCTAGAATGGCAATATCTTACATCAGACATCAACTTTAGTTTAATTTGTAGGGAATTTGGCAAAAAATTAAAGATAAATTCACTTACACTTTTTTTTATTTTTAAAGAAAAAAGCTAAAAAAAAAAACTTTTATTAATTTTTTTTGTTTTTCCACCACTATTTTTTCAGTGAGTTAGGAGCGGGTGGAGGAAGGCAAACAAACAACTTTTTTTGACCTAATGTGTTACTTCATGAAAACTTCATGTTAAAATATGCACTGTTCTCTTTACAAACTTTTTGTGTGTTAAAGAATACAACATTTCTTGATAACCAATACTCGCTTATTTTGATATGACTGCTTTTTGTTTTCTCGCACTACCTTAATTTACTTTGTGTTAGTTTGTGATGTGAGTGACGTTATACATATTATGAAAGAGATTGTCATTTATAATGCAGTGATTTATTTGTTTATGTGTAAATAAGATAAAATTAAATTAAATTTGTCCAATAACATTTGCTGCTTCACAAACAGAATCCATATTGCAGTGACTTATTGTTTATAGGGCATCTCACTGTGTATTCTTTAATTAGCAAAATCTTTACTTGATTGGACCAAAACATTTCAAGAAATGTAAAGTAATTCTGCTCCAGATACCTTCACCTTTTGAGCAAAACTAGGTATCATTTATGAGATATTAATCTTCAAACTCTAATAATAATTTTAGCAGATGTTTTAATCTTCTTCCAAAATTACTAGATGCAGGTAGTGGAGATAAACACATCCCTATATCCCTATGGACTAAGCACCTAAAATATTATCTCGCACCTAAAACCTAAAACTCATAACCAATAAGAGAATATTAAAGTTATACACATGACAGAGATAATTTAATAATTGTAGGCAACCTTAATTACATTCCATAATCCAAAGCAACGTGGGAATTAATAATGTCAATCTTTACATATGGCAGGAATTTATACACCATTAATATCAATATAAATGTTATTTGAACATTGATTAACAATAACCAGTCTCATCAATGACAATAATATCTTTTCATAGCAAGGCCACAACATAATACTATAAGGTGAAGTCACGTTTTAGCTTAGCAAGTGTTAACTTTCATAGGAAATGTTATTTGAACGAATTATCAAATATTAAATAATTTTTACGTTTAAACATCAAAGGAAATGTACTGTAAAGAGAACCAAAATACAAAGGAAAAGCAAGCCATGGACAATTTAAGCAAATGAATAAATCTCTCCCAGATTGATAGAGCTCTCAAATGGTTAAAAGAGGATATTGGGTTAGAACTGTCTGGTAGGGATAATACCCTTTTCTCAAAAACAATCATATTTAGGTTCAGTAACAAGTTATTAACATTTAGTTGTTTTAACATGAATCAAAACAACCAAATTAATTTATTCAATATTATTAATATCTTTCGAAGGCCAGAAAAAGGTCCAAGAACAATATAAATTATGATATTTAGACTTTTTTAAACTTAGAATGTCTGTAATGTTGGAAAGTGTTTCTCTTCACCGGTTATATATTTGCTAATTAAACAAATTAATTACTTTGTCAGTTTAGTAGCAATTAATCAATCTTAAACTTTTAGAAATCTATTCATTTATTATGGTGTATTATTTCAACCATTATAGCAACTAACATACAATAAATATAATATTATGACCAATTTATCAATACAGAAAATTTGTAATCTATTTTAAATTACACCTGTAATTCAGAATGGTAGTGATTCTCGTAAAAAAAAATAATTCACTTTATTAGGATTATTATCATTTTTAAAAAATCTTGGTGTTTCAGGATATGAAGCTAAGACACTCTGACTGGGAAGTGAACACCTGTGAATACCTTGATTATGCCTTTAATCTAAGCAATTATTTGTCAATTTGAAAACATACTTTCTTTGAAATTAATTAATTCATTTTTTCTTGCAACCTCTTACAAGCTTTGAATTCTGAAATTTGCATTTCACATTCCTCCCATTTATTATTATTTTTATTTAATTTAATTTAAATTCAAATATAAATATTTTAATTGATAAACCGGACATCTCTTAAATAAGTATCAATTGACCTCAGTCCATATAATAATAATTTATCAATAAAACTGATAAGCCATCAATACATTGGTCAATCAATAATCAAATCAGTCAATCAATTAACTAACCAATCAATCAATAAATAAATCAATCAACCAATCAATCAACCAGCCAGCCAATCAATCACTTAATCACTCAATCAATCACTCAATCAATTAATCAATCAATCAATCAATCAATCAAACAATCAACCACAAGCTTACTTCAATTGCATTAGCATCCGCAGCATCCATCAGAAGCTCATTCATATTAGTCTGTTGGGACTCCTCAGAGCGTGGACCACCAGGGCTGCCAGGGGCCGTTGGGGGGGCAACAGCTGGTCGTAGTACTCGTACTATCACAGTACGTAATTGTTCATGCTGCCGACGAAATCTGTATAAAAAATCTTTGTATATAAGCTTAAGCTTTATTTTTATAATATGTGTAATAAGTTTTACATATATTTTGTAGTGTTAAGTCTAATAATAAAAAATAAGTAAACAGTTTTGTAAATAAGCCTTTATTTCTACAATGTGTAATAGTTTTTATATATTTTTCTATTGATTATAATGCAAACACAGCATGTTTTGTACCATGTTTTTTATACCGTAATAAATAAATAAAATTAAAAGAAATATTGTCATAACATCATTTACATACTTTCTCATGGTTTCTAGTCTGACTTGGAGTCGTTTGTGGTTGGGGTTGACACGCCATACCATCTTTAAGCTTTCTTCACGCTTTTTCTTGACGATATCACGTAGCAAACCCTGTAACTTCTCGTACTCGTCATCCCAAGTTCCAAATACCTCAAAGCATGCAGACATGACCTTTTCGAACTCCTCAAAGCTAATGTGCATTAGGCGTCTTGTTCCAAGCACCTGAAAAAAAATTACATAATGAATTGCTCTCATGCTTTAGCCTACAAATATAACATGATTAAATTTCAATGACCATGTTATTGATTATCATGACTTCTACAATTCTTTTGAATTAATAATTAGGTTTTATGTTTTAAATTTATTTTTGTAATCTATGTTTGCAATCTGTAATTCAATTAATTAAACTTAGTTTCAAGTACTTAATTGAATTGCAATATAAATAAATCCATTAATCAGGATAAATCATAGAGGCTGGGATACTAATAATCATTAAAATAAAAGTTATTTATTCTTTATTCTCTATTTCAAATATTGAGAAAATAAAACTTTTTGCCATTTTTTTTATTTTCATTACATCATTATAATTACAATAGAGTATCTTTAAGATTTTCAACTAACCTTGAGAAGTTGAGTTGTCAAATCTCTAGAGATGGCTTCCACTAGTCGTAGAGCTCTTTGAATTGGGTATTTGGTGTTCCTGATCTTTCTGAGGTGTTGGAAGATACTGACGAGGGCCAACCTGATACGGTCGAGCTCGGATGCGGCCAGCAAATCATTCAAAGGGAAGTCTTTCATAAGAGGGGCAAAGTCATTCACCGTGTCTAATGCTTGCTTCAAACCTTTCGAAAAAATATATCAATATTCCAAATTACCACTTCAATTCTTAAAACTTTAAGACTTAACTTTGTACATTTTACGTAATTTATTATTTCAAACCCTTCTCTGGAATTCTTGTGTTAAGAATTTTTTTCCGTTAAAATAATTCTTCACCTGTATCAGTATCAAAGCTGACGGTTGCATGGAAACGTTTGCCATGTTTCAGAATTTCTAGTGTTAGAGCGACATCAATGCTTTCTCGCTTCTCTTGAACTTTCATTAGCGCCCTCTCCAGATTCAACCAGAAGCTGATTTCCTGGAGTGCTGTGCCTGATGCCGGATCACGATCCAACTTGGTCACCTTAAACAAAAAAGTTGTTAATGAAGCAATTTTGTTTCTCTTGGTATCACAAGGTCTGTGGGATGGCCAAGCAGGTAAGGATAAGGGGGAGAGGACAGGCAGTTGAAGCTTATGGCCAAGGGCAGATTAAGGGTTGGAGCCTGGAAGGAATTTAGGATGGTGAAGCCAACATAATATTCATAATTATTGTCTTGCAGTCAGTTACAGGTTTTAAAAAGTACTATAATGTATAATTATATACATACTGTATTTATTCCCAAAATTATTTTAATTGCCACATAATTTTTCCACTGTTGAAAAGCTCTTATAAATGATATTATTATTATTATTATTATTATTATTATTATTATTATTATTATTGTATTAGCTATAAGTATAGAACTAGTACTAGGTATACTGTATATAACTAGATATTTTAGCACTCATGACATGTTGGCTTTTCAACAGGCTTAATATCCAAGTACTTAATGAATCATTTAACATCAATGAGACTGAACTGAGTTGTAATTGTATACACAGACATACAGTACACACATGAGTCAAGGTGTAGATATCATGGCTTAAGAGTTATTCAACTTTTTACCATTTCAGGGGCTTTGGGGGGGGGGGGGGAGGCCAGGCCCAAAATGCCCTAGAGCTTATTTTAGGGTGTCTAGAACACAAAAAATTTGAGTGAGCATGACCCTGGGACCCCCTAGCGCAGTATTATCTCAATCAGCCCCACTTTTGGCCCCCCTTTTTGGACATCTCTGGATCCGCCACTGCATTTGTTATATCTTATTCTATGTATAATTCGGTATTTGTGTGTTGGATGTAAAAAAACAAAAATTGATTTAAATGGAACGTCTGTTAAATGGATTGACCATCAACTACCCTAGAGAAGGGTCAGTGCATTCGAAAGTACAACCATATTGCTTTATCCATGGGCTGTATCATGAGCTGAGAGTGGCAATAAATGAATGGATCACTCATCAACTAACTCAATCATCAAGTCCCAGACAAGCAGGAGGAAAATTAAACAACAATCAGATTTGAGCACATTTACTATAAAAAACCATATGTGGGGGTGATTTAATAAGAGCTCTGGAACATATTGTTTTCAGCTTACGTTTCATACAGAATAATATACGACACTATGTAATATTAATTAACTAATACACAAGCCCATATTTTACTTGACAAATTTTACATGAGTACTTTCATTGTCCCTAACACAATGATTGCGCAACAGATGGTCGACTAGGTCACAGAGGAACAGTGACGATTTAAAATCAATACTGAACTTGACCTGATGTCATGATGTTTATCAATTATTTTAGTTAATGTAAAGTCTGTCTCCTTTTAATATATAGCATAACCAGAGCAACTGAAGAGTAGACTATTAAATTTACATTTACAGTATGAAGCCATAATTGGCTGATGATAACAATGAACTTCTTCATGTCAATGTAGCAAAGATCTTATTACAACAAGCTAGTGCATTCCGCGATTTTATAAAAGCAATTTGCAGTAAAAAGTACAGCTTTTTCAGAAAGGGTTGTTACAGAATTTGCATGCAGAAATCAGAGTGTGCTATCTTTAGTATACAAGATCTTAGTGTGAAAGTTTAAAAGTACTTGTTTTACAGGATCAGTCAATCACATGATAGCAGACTCAGTCAGTCACATGATAGCAGACTCAGTCAGTCACATTAGAGCTAACTCAGTTAGTCATGTGATAGCAGACTCAGTCACTCACATGATAGCAGACTCAGTCAGTCATGTGATAGCAGACTCAGTTAGTCATGTGATAGCAGACTCAGTCACTCACATGATAGCAGACTCAGTCAGTCATGTGATAGCAGACTCAGTCAGTCACATGATAGCAGACTCAGTCATTCATGTGATAGCAGACTCAGTCAGTCACATTAGAGCTGACTCAGTCATGTGATAGCAGACTCAGTCACTCACATGATAGCAGCCTCAGTCAGTCATGTGATAGCAGACTCAGTCAGTCACATGATAGCAGACTCAGTCAGTCACATGATAGCAGACTCATCGCATGATAGCAAGGTCAAGATGAAAATTTTAAGGTCAATTAGTCATATGATGGTGGTAGGCTCATTTTTACATTAATTTACAAACATGGCCCAAGTTTCAAATGTTACCACCAGTCACTTTTAACACGTTAGGTAGGGCAAAACATCCTCCTATTATATTTTCCTAATGCAAACACATTGACTTTGCATTTGCAGTACCCACTGCTACTCCACATGGGATTCGGATTCAACACTAGTTACTAAGCACAAGCTGGGTGGTCTAAGGGGTTATGACACCAAGTTAGCTCTCTGGAGGTCTTGGGTTAGATTCTCACCCAAATTACTTGGGAATTTTTTTTCTGCAAGTATTTGGTATACTGTAACAGGTCAGGTAGGGAAAAACATTAGTCCTATGACACTTTAAAAAATAATAAAATCTTCCAACCTTCTGAATCTCTCTAATCCACCTGTTTACGCCATTTTGAAGTTGATTCAAGAAAACCGAGTCCTCTGCCTTGTCTGCAAAATCGATGACCTTTGGCCTACGATTTTCATCTTGACATTTGCGGATCATTGAAGACACAATAGGATTGATGGGAAGTGTAATTTCAGGGATGTCAATGTTTTGTTGAAGATGAAGGAGTCCCATTTCTAGTTCTGAAATTTTCTTCTCAACTGTTGGTGCCATTTTGTCACCATCCCTAGAAGAAGAAAATGTACATACTGAAACGTTTTAAATAATCAGTAAAATACACGAGACTGTCTTGAGCTAAAAACTTGTATTCAATTTAAAGGGACATAGACAAAATTGTTAGATTATCACTCCCGGCCGCATAAAAAATTTGGGAAATATTGATGTGGGAATAAAAACAAATTTTTTTTTTTTACCCCATCACTCATTTCAACAGCATAAAAAAAAACAATGTAATTTTGTGACTGGAAAATACATTTTCTTTAAGAAAGAATAAAATTAAACCAGTTTTTATAAAATTTTTACAATATTCTTGCCAAATAAAAACAGTCCCTCCCTCACTGATTTAAAAAAAAGCAATATTCTATGGTTCCTATAAAAAAAAAAACGTGCCCTCATCACTTATTTTCAAAATAAAGAGTGAAAATCTAATAATTTTTTTTATGTGGCCTAATACTTTTAATTACTTACTTTGTATATTTAATTATTTTTCAATTGGATATCAGGATGAGAAAAAATAGTCTTGGTCGATTAAGTATTATCATTCCTATAACCTTTGCATTGACCCTTAACTTGGCTGGAAATTATTTCATAATTTTTGTAATACAATGTAGGAATGTAAATCTGGATTAATTTAAATGAGTACTGTAATTTAATTATTTGAATTTAATCATCATCATTTTTCAAGGTTTTCATCATTGAAAACGATCTGTTGCATGTCCCATTGGCTAATGACCGAGTGTGTGCCCGGCTTTGAATTGCAGCAAAATAGAACATGGAAGGCTGAGAGCAACTGGCAGTAGGCGAGATCATGTCGCTTCCATATCATCATGTGACTCATCGGTTGCTGGCAAGTTGCCAAAAGCCAATTTACATAAGAAAGTCTTTTCAAAAGGCATAACACATTTAATATTTAATGTCAAAGAATAGTACCTATCAACTTTTCCTGTAGCCCGTATGTAGGATTTGAAGAAGGGGGCCATGGCTTCACTGACGTATGCATGTAGGGTCTCAAAGGGGGAGCCCTCACTGAAGGCAATGACACGTAGTTGCGAAGACATAGACTTATCACCGTCAACCAGTACACCTTTCTTCAGGAACACAACACTAGAAATCAATTATAAAAGTCATTAAAAATATTGCAAAAAAAAGTATTATGAAAATAGTTTTCTACATGGTACTGTAATGTAAGCTTTCAAAATTTAAAGAGAAAAAAATTAAAGGAGAAAAAAGTAAATTATACACAAGAATGAGTATTACCAAATATCATAAAAAGAATGAATCAAAGAATAAAATGAAATATTTAAATATTTAGCTGAAGGAACAAAATTCATATAGAGAGACAGATATGCCTTATTTTAATTTTACAGTACATGTGCACATTCCGATTTGAGACTATTTTTTTCAAAAAAACAAATACAATAACAATTTTCCCTGTATCTTTATCTCTAATCAACTGGTCGGTAAACTGCTTCTCAGCATATCACAACAACAAAGTTTTAATCTTTTAACATAAAGCTATCCCTCAAATGACACATCAATCACACAGACTACGCCAAATTTTCCGGTCTCAAAGGTGGTCTTGAACTGTTGAACCAAATAATTAAAAAAAAAAAAAAATTATCCCACCCTCACCCTGTACCTCGCCATCTCTCTCAATGCTACCGACTACATGCATTGTTGCAATGCTTTCATAAATACCGTAGTATGTTGTTACTAAAATTTTTTTCACATTTAGCTTAAAGAATACCTCATCATTTTGGTGTTGGTGAACTGAGCCGTGTTCATCAGAGTGTACGTTATCACCTCGGGTTCCCCGGGTTCTGAAGCTTCACTCGCTTCATCATCATCATCTAGTAAACAAATATAAAACACTGTAACACCAATATTTCAGCACAAATAATTTAATTTTGGCAATGTAATAGTAATACTTTAAAAATATTAAACTGTTGATTAAAAGTTAATTAATTATTACAGTTTATGATTTGAAAACTATTGGAATAACTAATCTATTCTATTCCTCAAAAATTGGTCTACAGTAGTAATTTTGGACTAGGTACTAGGCCTAGGAACACTTTTTTTTTCTAATCTAATCTGAACCACAGCAGGGCTATTATTCTGTGAGGTTTCATTTCTTGCAATGTCTGTACTACAACAAAATATATTTCTAATTAAATTTTATCATTAATACTTAATTTCTTAGCCCAGATCAAATCCTCATGTTTCCTAAATTTGTTTGAGTTAGGCCTACAGTAAATTATTTTTAGTGTCAGCATGACAAGGAATTTTCCTTGATTCATTCCTGTTTGTTGATCATATATTTCCTATGCCTTATTTCGCCCTTGGATAGGTTGTATAGGTGGAGGTCGGGAGTGGGAAGGTCGNNNGAAGTAGGCTGTACATAGATACCCTAGGCTAGCCTACCTTAGGATGCAAGCTCAGGATGGGTCGGCCTAGGGCTAGCTAGGCCCTTATATAAATAATAGGCTACCCTATCAATGGATTGGACTGGTGGGAAGGGAAAAATGGAATTTGGCAAAAGTAAAAGAAAAGGTTGGAAAAACCATGTATTAACCGCTTAAAGTTTCTAAAATACAGCAATATAACAAGTGCATTTACTAAAGTACCTTTTGTCACATTCCTCTGAACCATTAAACAATGAACTTGTGGATCAGAAAGGAATTTTTTCATGCATTCTACGTGCCCTTTCTCAGCAAGGGCGTTGTCCAATGCCACAGATGGCTCGCCATTTTCGAGCAGAAGAGGCAAAGTTTTCCGGAGATACTGGGTCAAAACCGGCACCTCTGCAACCACCTGGATGCTCTGGCTTTCTGTATCACTGCTATCCGCCATTTCTGGTGGATAGCTTTTCTATATTTGTAGCTTTTTATCCTTTTTGCAGCCGAATACGATCATCAAAACAGAAATAAATTCAGAGTCAACGATTGAGATTTCATCGATTCATTCAACCTATGACCCAAAGTACCGGTATATAGTGCGCCCTCATTAAAGTTAGACGTGACGTGATTCTTGAGTACACTGTTCTCAAAAGTCAGGAATATTAGCCTATACCAACAAAATATTTTGCTGCTAATTTTTATGGCAATTTAGTCCATTTTGTTGTGAATCTTTCTAGTATATCCTGTTGGCGGCAGTAAAGCCTTCTCTAACTTCTGTAAAATAAAATAAAACCAATTTGTGCAGAATCCGCTGTACAAGTCCCTCCAATGGTCCCTTCTGCCTCAAATCCGCCACTTAAGCAGACTAAGGAGAACGACACCAAACACATTCTATCCAATGATTCTACGCCTCCCTTTCCGCCTTCACCTCTATGAAACGTCTGTGGACAACCTTTTTCCGCTCCCTGGATCACTTGAAGCAACAAAAGGGGCCTACCAGATCAGTCGGCCATCTGAACAATTTTGTATAGAGGTACCGTCGGTAAATATTAGTTTACCTATATTTATGACAATTTTCAAACTATTTTTCTCATTTTGTATTACTGTAATTATGTAAATATAATTTACCATAATAATGATAAGAATAATAGGCCTAATAATGGTGAAGTTTTATGCTGAATAATGTAGATACCTTTATGCGCTTTTTACAGTGAACTTAATACTAAATTAAAATAAATTAAATTTTATGAATTATAAGTAACATCGTAAAACGGGAGGTTTTCAACTGAATTCGATAGTAATTCAGGCTCTTTTCAGGGTGATTCCCTCTCAGGATTGTTATTTACTATTACTCTTGTGGGTTCCCTAGCCCTGTATCTCCTTAGAGCAGTATGTAATGTTAGACCATGCCCACATATTTCAATGAATTGTTTACCGTTGGAGTCCGAGTATGCGGATGATAATTATTTTATATCTGAATCTGTATATTAGCTTAAAAATCTGTCAAAGTGTTCAAAGAGTAGAATTAGTTTGTGAATGAGACTAAAACCGAGTTCACACATATATCTTTCTTGATAAAGATAAACCTAAATTGGAAGAATGGAGATCACATAAGATATTTTAGGGTCATTAGATAGTAAGCCACCTATGATATTAATCATAGGATTGTGGGCGAATGCAGTATTAAAAACCTTAAGAGGATGTGGACCAAAAGTAAAGTTTTACTTGATTTTAAACTTAAGTTTTATGATGCTTTATCTATTTGACTGTATAATTGCAGCCGTTTGTCAGCACTGAAGCATGTGTTTGATAAATTAAATGCTTGTCATGAAAACACATAAGGAGTACCGGTATATTGAATAGTGGCGAAAATTATTAAGATGGTTTTTTAGAATGGATGAAATCACACCAGCTTTTTCAACATTCGTTTATGCAGTTGTTTTTTAGGAACAGTATTAAAGAGCGTGTCGGAAAATATCAAGCCAACCATTTGTCTTCAATTATATATATAT